TCCACGAAATCCACCACTCCCACCAAGACCTGGAACATCAGTGCTCCAAAGCCCATGTATCCTACCCAACCTGCTTGCCTCCATTCCCCTAGGGAGAACCAGGGCTCTGGCTTGTACAGTTATGTCTTTGTATCTCAAAATAATAGTTGTGTCCACTTTTGAACTTTTAAAGAATGCAATCATATTACATTTTATTTTATTCTTTTTTCTACTCAGTATTTCATGAAATTCATCTATGTGATGGCATGTGTAACTAGTTTATTCATCTGTTGCTATGTTATAGTCTGTGAATGTTTCACAAAGTAATCCCTTGTCCTGTTTTTTTTTAAATTTTTTTATTGATTATGCTGTTACAGTTGTTCTATTCCCCCTTTATTCCCCTCCACCCTACCCCCCATCCCCACCATCACCCCCCCTTTAGTTTATGACCATGTGTCTCAAGTCCTTTAGGTTCTATATTTCCCATGCTATTCTTGCCCCCCCCATCTATTTTCTATCTACTGTCTATGCTTATTTTCTGTACCTTCTCCCCCTTCTCCTCCTCCCACTCCCCTGTTGCTAACCCTCCTTGAGATCTTCATTTCTATGTTTCCACTCCTGATCTAGCTGTCCTTTTAGTTTGCTTTCGTTTTAGGTGTGGTTGTTAATAACTGTGAGTTTGTTGTCCTTTCACTGTTCATGTTTCTTTAACTTCTTTTTCTTAGATAAGTCCCTTTAACATTTCATATAACAAGGGCTTGGTGATGATGAACTCCTTGAATTTGATCTTATCTGAGAAGCACCTTATCTGTCCTTCCATTTTAAATGAAAGTTTTGCTGGATAGAGCAATCTTGGTTGTAGGTCTTTAGATTTCATGACTTGGAATACCTCTTTCCAGCCCCTTCTCGCCTGTAGGGTCTCTTTTGAGAAATCCGCTGACAGTCTGATGGGGACTCCTTTGTAGGTGACTGTCCCCTTAGCTCTTGCTGCTTCTAGGATTCTCTCCTTCATTTGAATCTTGGCTAATGTAATTACGATGTGCCTTGGTGTGTTCCTTCTTGGGTCCAACTTCTTTGGGACTCTCTGAGCTTCCTGGATTTCCTGGAAGTCTATTTCCTTTGCCAGATTGGGGAAATTCTCCTTTATTATTTGTTCAAATAAGTTTTCCACTGGTGGCTGTGCCTTTCCCCCTTCTGGTACCCCTATAATTCGGATGTTGGAGCGTTTAAAGATGTCCTGGAGGTTCCTAAGACTCTCCTCATTTCTTTGAATTCTTGCTTCTTGACTTTTTTTCTGTTTGGCCATTATTTGCTTTCTTCTGGTCCACTCCATTGATTTGAGTCCCAGTTTCCTTTTCATTGCTATTGGTGTCCTGTGCAATTCCATTCATTTCAATTAGTTTCGCCTTCATATATTTGTCTAATTTGTCAGTATAATCAACCAGTTCTGTGAGGATCCTGATCACCAATGTTTTAAACTGTGCGTCTGTGAGTTTTGCTATTTCTTCATCGCTTAGATTTATTGGCTCTGGGGCTCTGAGATCCTCCTGCGCCATTCTTGGTCTGTTCGGGCCCTTTAAGAAGTGGCACCTTGGATTCCCAGGTCGCTGGGTTGTGACGCTGTATGTGGGGGCGTGGCCAGAGTGGGGAAATGGCGACCCCCTCTGCCATTTCTCACAGCTGGGTGCGGAGGAGCAGTGCCTTAGGTGGTTCACCTGGGCCGGGCCGCTCAGAGTCGCTGGGTTATGATGCTGTATGTGGAGGTGGGGTCAGAGCAGGGAAATGGCGGTGCCCTCCACTGCCGCTGGCCGTGGGGACCTGCCGGCCCGGTCCAACCGCCCACTCCCTCGCCTGTCCACCCTCGCACAAATGCGAGACCTCAGTCAACACGCAGCCCCAGCCCGGCTGTCTCCCCCGTGGTCGCTCGCCTGGTTGCTCGCTGGGTCGCTCACTAGGTCTGACCCTGCGCCTGTATTCCGCCGGCCTGAATGTGTCTGGCTGAGTCCTCCCGTGCAACCCTGCTCTGCCAGCCGCTGGTTTCGCCCCTTACCGGTCAGGCTGAAGAATTTTTTTTTTAAATAAATTTATTTATTTATTTTGAATTAATTATGCTGTTACAGTTGTTCTATTCCCCCCTTCATTCCCCTCCACCCTGCCCCCCCAACCCCACCATTACCCCCCTTTAGTTTATGTCCATGTGTCTCAAGTCCTTTAGGTTCTATATTTCCCATACTATTCTTGCCCCCCCCCCATCTATTTTCTATCTACTGTCTATGCTACTTGTTTTCTGTACCTTCTCCCCCCGTCTCCTCCTCCCACTCCCCTGTTGCTAACCCTCCTTGAGATCTTCATTTCTATGTTTCCACTCCTGATCTAGCTGTCCTTTTAGTTTGCTTTCGTTTTAGGTGTGGTTGTTAATAACTGTGAGTTTGTTGTCCTTTCACTGTTCATGTTTCTTTAACTTCTTTTTCTTAGATAAGTCCCTTTAACATTTCATATAACAAGGGCTTGGTGATGATGAACTCCTTGAATTTGGTCTTATCTGAGAAGCACCTTATCTGTCCTTCCGTTCTAAATGAAAGTTTTGCTGGGTAGAGCAATCTTGGTTGTAGGTCTTTAGATTTCATGACTTGGAATATTTCTTTCCAGCCCCTTCTTGCCTGTAAGGTCTCTTTTGAGAAATCTGCTGACAGCCTGATGGGGACTCCTTTGTAGGTGATTGTCCCCTTACCTCTTGCTGCTTCCAGGATTCTTTCCTTCATTTTAATTTTGGCTAATGTAATTATGATATGCCTTGGTGTGTTTCTTCTTGAGTCCAACTTTTTTGGTACTCTCTGAGCTTCTTGGATTTCTTGGAAGTCTATTTCCTTTGCCAGATTGGGGAAATTTTCTTTTATTATTTGTTCAAATAATTTTTCCACTGGTGGTTGTGTCTTTCCCCCTTCTGGTACCCCTATAATTCGGATATTGGAGCGTTTATAGATGTCCTGGACGTTCCTAAGCTTCTCCTCATTTTTCTGAATTCTTATTTCTTCATTCCTTTCTGATTGATCATTTTTTTCTTCCTTCTGGTTCACTCCATTGATTTGAGTCCCAGTTTTTTTTTTCATCTCTATGGTTTTCCTGTGGAATTCCATTCATTTCCCTTAATTTAGCCTTCATATGTTTCTCTAATTTGTGGCTATAGTCCACCAGATCTGTGAGGAAGCTGATGACCAGTGTTTTAAACTGTGCGTCTGAGAGATTTGCTATTTCTTCATCACTTAGATTTATCTCTGGGGCTTTGAGGTCTTCCTGCGACATTTTTGGTCTGTTCTGGCCCTTTAAGTGGGAGGAGCAGCGCCTTGGATTCCCAGGTCGCTGGGTTGTGACGCTGTATGTGGGGGCGTGGTCAGAGCGGGGAAATGGCCGCCGCCACCACCGGTCCAAGCGCTCACTCCCTCACCCGCGTGCAACCAGGCAACCACAGTCAACTCGCTGCCACCGCCTCCCCACTGACTCCTCTGTAGTCGCTCACCCGGTGTGCTGCTCGGTCGCTCACTAGGTCCAATCCTGGGTTTGGAACCCGTGCGACTGGATTCGCGCGTCTGGATTCCGCGCCCGGGTCGACTCCTTTGTAACTCCTCACCCGACGCCGGTTTCGCCCCTTACCGGTCGGGCCGAAGAATTTGTTGTTAGCGGACTTCCGAAAAGTTCAGTTTTCCGTGTTCTGGTTGTGTTTTCTGATGCTAATATTTAGTTGTCCCTAAACTTGGTTGTGTGAGGAGGCAGGCACATCCACCTTAAACCTCCATCTTGGCGGAAGTGAAAAATTTGTTGTTAACGGACTTCCGAAAAGTTCAATTTTCTGTGTTCTGGCTGTGTTTTCTGTTGCTAATATTTAGTTTTCTATAATCTTGGTTGTGTGAGAAGGCACGGCACATCCACCTATGCCTCCATCTTGGCGGAAGTCTCCCTTGTCCTGTTGATAGACGTTTTTGTTGTTTCTGGCTTGTATATTTTCCCTGCGTTAGTGTAAGGCTGTCCTGTATGCCTTTCAGAGGCAATGGGAGTTTGGGGGGAAGGGAAGGGAGGGGAAGCACAAGCAGCTAGGGGCATGGGGGACTGGAGGTGGGACTTTCTGGTCATGCAGGGCTACTGACATGCAGAGCAGGACTAGAGTACCATAGAGCAAAGGGCACAGGAGGGCTCCTTTGAAGTCTGCACCTACTCTGAAACTAGAGGGGTGCACTTCCCCTCTGAGGGCAAGTGCTCTGCCTGCCCAAAGCTGTGGTCAGGTTTAGCAGGCCCACTGCCCGACACCTCTTCTCTGATCCCCATGGGGTGCAGGGCCATCTCTGCATGCACAGAGACGCGGCCAGACAAAGCAGCTTGTAGTGACAGAGGAACCACCACAAACTGGCCAAGGAGTCACTTCTGGTGCCTCTTCCTTCCCAGGATGGACATAAATCAAAGATTTGTGTCTAGAAACTTTAGGAAACACCCTAGCTGGTCTAGCTCAGTGGACTGATTGAGTGCTAACCCATGAACCAAAAGGTCACCAGTTCGATTCCCAGTCAGGGCACATGCCTGGATTGAGGGCCAGGTCCCCAGTAGGGGGCAAGCAAGAGGCAACTGATCAATGTATCTCTAACACATTGTTGTTTCTCTGCTCCTTTCTCCCTCCCTTCCCCTCTCTAAAAGTAATAATCTTAAAAAAAAAAAAAAAGGGTGGGTAAACATGCAGGGATCACCCACTGCACATGCACACTAGCCAGAATGGAGGTAAGGCAGTCAAAGTCCTACTGTTTACCTGGCCCTTACCTGTGCTGCAAGGGAGGCTGTTCCTTGGAGCTCTTCTCTTGGAGATTCTCAGCAGCCCAGGACAGAGCCCCCATCTAGTCAGAAAACTTGTCCTTGGCAACACTCCAGCCATAATGACTGCATTTGTCTCATTGGGGACCATCCTGGCTGGAGATGTCTGGGAGTCTCTACTGCCCTCTGAAAGACCTGGTATAATTCCCTCCTCTCTGGTTTGGCAGCTACAGGTAAGAGGAAACGTGCCACTGCCTTGGAGCAGGGCAGGCTGCATGGAAAACAAGCAGGATGTCTTTCCCCTTCGACTTGGGACTGCACTGGAAACCAGGTAAGTTGTGGGGAGTCAGGGTAGACAGTCAAGCAGGAGCTTCGGCAGGATGCCACCCCTCACACTGAAGAGCAGTGAGACTTAGTAAAACATCATTTCCTCATTGGAACCTCAATGGGTTGATTGGACGAACATCCCCACAGATGAGAGAATAAAGCAGAGTAGTGGTTAAGGCCGTACCCCTGTGCTAGATGTGGAAGCTTTTGAGTCCAGTGAGGGAGCTTCTCCTAAGAAACTTGGTGAATTTTAGTGGGTAGCTAATTCCAATGTGCAATGTGGACTGCTTCGTGCATAATTTAATACAGTTCTGGTTTTGAGAAATAAATAGTCCGGTGTAAATCCAATGTAATAGCACTAGTACTTTAAAATGAAGGGCTCCTTTGGAATTGCTCCAGAACTCTACTCTACCCTGATTTAAGCCTTTTATTCCACATGTGGCTTCTTAATGCTCTCCCCACTTCATCTTCCCGGGCCTGCCAGCACCCAGTCCCACCTGGCTCTGACTCAGGAGGAGACTGTGTAGCATAGTAAGTAGTTGGGGGTGTGGGCCACTGGAGGCTGTGGCCCCAACTGAAACAACATGGCTCTGCTTATTTGCTGTGTGACCTCAGGTAAGGGGCATTAACAGCAGTGCTGGCTCAGTTGCCTTATTTTCAATATATCTTAACTATTATTATCTTATTCAGTTCTCTGTTCCAAAATCTCAAATAGCTATAGAATTGAGACCAGTGTTTGGCCTGCTACAGACCTTTTTTGTTTGACTTTTAACAAATATTTCCTGCCTTCCCTCATTCACTAACCCATGCCAGCTCAGTTCCCCAAACCCTCCCTCCAGCTTTGCTTCATGCTGCCCTGTGTCACCAGTGGAAGTCACATCTCTCCCTCAAGGCTAGGCCCTCTGCTAAGTCATGTCGGTGGGCCTTCTTTCTCCTCTGAGCTGTATCTAACTAGTCAGGATCCAAGCTGCTGTAGCCACTAGGTTGTGGAGGAAAGCTGAAGTCATCAGAATGAAAAAGTATTCCCCACGCAACTGTAACTATAAAATTACCTTCCACTTAGACATATTCTCCCTGCACAACCACCTCCATCCATCATAGCCCTTCTCTCCCCTTACTGATTGATATGTTGTAAACTTCTGATATTGAAAACAGGAAATAGGTGCCAAAGTACAATTTAAGTTTTGCAAAACATGTAAAATTTCAGTCATGAAAGTAGTTGGAAAGTACTGATGCTCAAATGAGTAGTCATTGGCAAATACGATCTGAGTGAGAGATCCATTAACAAATGAAGAGCAGACCTGCTTACAATCTAGTTAAGTGCCTCCCAAGAGATTATTTGAATATCAAAGGGCCAAAGGATTAAGAGAGGCCCACAGGAAAAGTGAGGAAGCCTTTGACTAACTTGCAGAAATGACCCTGATGGATTGCACTGTGGAGATCGAACATGAAATGATGTCCTGCTGTGCAATTATATAATTGTGGGAAGGAAATGTATGTAAATATTTTTCTCTAAAACAGCCTGTAGTTGCTGTTAACAGATACTTGTTTTAGTAGTCGTTTCTTTTTGCAAGATAAAGTTCCATTGCAAACCTGTTTTACTATCTACCATATGAAACTACAGTCTCCATTTTAAGTGGGTTGACTCTTAAGAGGTTTTTTCAGATCCCAGTTCTTTTGGGATGAGTCAGTTGTTTTACTTTTTTTAAAATCTGCCCAATCTTTCCTAACAGTTGGCACACTCTTCAGGTCAAACAGTGTCAGAGACAGACAAATGCTAGGCTCTGAGTTCACTGTTATGTGAATTGAGTCACCCAGCCTATCCAGAGCCAGTTAGAAGCAAAGACCCCATGGTGGAGGACTCAGTTAGGGTCCCCAGCAATGAGGAATGACCAGGTGACCTCAGATACCCAGGCTCTTGTCCTCAGTCCATATCTGGGGCTTCAGGCAATCACCGTGATCTCCAAGTCTGGAGTTCTTTGGAGGGCAGTACATGGAGCACATGAGAGTGGCAAGGGTGACCCAGGGTGGATGGTCAGGAGAGGCAGAAGCCCGTGCTACCACCCTCTGCCCTCCCCAGGGGCAGCATTCAGAAGCAGTCTGCAGTGGCTTGAGGTGGTCTGATTCAGAACTTCCTGTGACTGAGCTTCATAAACAGACTGAATGATGGAGATTTTCTCAATTCTAGGGAAGGTAGGTGTGGGTTTGGGGAGGAACTCAATTACTATCTGGAAAAAGGAGGCTAACTTCCTACTTGGGCGTCAGGGAGAAGAGGGCAAATTGGCACCAATGTTCATTTCCCCCCACAAGGACTACTTGGGGAAAAATCATGACACCCTAGTACTTTATATCCTGGACACAGAGGACCAAAAGGAGGGCTGAACTCTCCTTTCAACTGATGAGACTGGACTAGCGGAGTTCTTGGGTCCACAAGAAATAGTCCCGAAGTTAATGCCTCAGAACTGTGTGGAGGGGGTGTGTATGTATGGCATGGCCTCAGAGACTGGCTCCGGGAAGGGTGGGGGGGCAGGGAACACCTGATGCTTTTAGTTCCCTAAGCCCATGGAGAAGGCCTTTGCATCCCTGGCAGAGTGTGGGTTTTAAATAGCCTCCGTTTTAAATACCTTGATTTACAAATCTTCAAGGAGGTATATGTGTGAGGGCAGAGAACTGAACCTCAAGAACACCTACGGTCCTTAGGGAGCAGGGGAAAGCATAGCCCCTGTAGGCCAGTTGCAGAGGCAGAACCAGCAGGTTTATTATCCAGGTTGTCAGTGTTTGGAGTGCTTGAGAAGGAATGCTTTGGTGCAGGACTGGAGTGTATGGATAATCCTCGGGAACACCCGAGAAGGGGGTTGGAAGGGGAAGAGAGCACTAGGAATCTCTGAGATAATAGCTGGCTGATTGTCAAGTCAAATGAAAGAAGATAATCATACTACCCTGAGGAGTCAGGGGGCACAATGTCCAGTCCCAATAGCTAATGGGACTTCAAAAATGGGAGCCACCCAGAGCAGTGTGACAGCTAGCACCTGAGCCTCCTGGGTGACTTCAAAGAACCTCCAGTTCTAGGAACTGATCTTCCAATTGGCAAAATACAGTGGGAATACCACTTACTACTAAGTCATGTCTGTTTTAATGCCTTAAAACGTGTTCAGCCACTTTGGGCTCCTGCGGCATCAGATATGGTAGGACCAGAGTGCAAGGTCTGCATGTCTTTTCCTAACCTTGGGCTCTGGGACCCTCATAGGAGCTCTCTTGCTAGACAGAGCACACGGCCCGGGCCCGGGCCTCTGGCCCAGACATCTGCGGCGTGGAGGAGGCCCAACTGGCCCTGCCTGCCCCTTTCCTCAGCCCAAACAGCTAGTCTGCAACATCGTATGATTTGGCATTCAATCAGGAACCTAAAACTCATCAGTTGTCAGCCAAGTGAGGCCATGTAAGTCTCCACAGGACTCAAGATTTCTCAGATGCCGCCTCAACCCCCATAAGCAGTTTCTCTCAGCCTCTTCCCGCTGAGAGTCTTAAACCACGCTGTACCTGCAGACCTGCGTTTGCTTAGTTTTTTAAAATCTTCAATAAAATACATATATGAAGCTTAAAGTTGTTGCCTAGTGATACGTTTGGAATTAATTATAAAACTCAGATCAGAATGCTTCAAAGTCAAAATTTTACCTTTGTAAGGTGGAAGAAACCAGGTGGGGCCAGTGGTCTTTTAGTTATAACGTGGTGGGATGGAAGCACCGTCCAGCTTTGACAGGTCAGAAGTCTGCCAACAGCCAGCCAGACATGGCACCTTGTCTCATGGACAGTGGGGAAGGGAGCCTGTGCTAAGCACCCACCTTCACCACCTCTCCCGTGGCACATGCTAAGCTCTATCCAGATGAGAAAACACTCTGTTCCTCACCTGCCCACAGGTGCCACAGGGCTGGGATTCCAACTCAGGTCTGTGGGCTCAGAACCCAGGTCCTCCCCACCAAACTAGTGGTTTTAAAACTAGCTTTTGTGGTAGTGCTTCGGGAGCTCTTCAGGAGCAAAACGCTTGCTTCAAATGTCATTTTAAGTACTAAAAAAAATTTATTACTATGTATATTCAAGTGCAGAACATGTATCCACTTAGGCTCCCCGAGACCTCACAGTAAGGCCTCAGTTGCTGTGCCTGTGTGGGCTTCTCAGGGTCACTGACCTAGAGGGCACCAGCTCAGGCTGTTCACCAAGCCAAGCCGTGACTCGGTGCTAGTGGCTCTCACCATAAAATCATTGCAGTGATTGTGACCTCTGGATGATTCTTACTTGATATACGGAAGATGAGGACTAAAAGGAGGTGTCGGATATTCTTCTGTTAATCTGATTTTTGAAGCACCTACTTCAGTCTTGTTAATAACCAGACACTGCAGGCAAGCTGTGACTATTACCATTGACAACCACCTTTCTATGTACAATCAGGGTTTTTTCTCCACACCAAATCCAGAAATAAAATGGATGCTAAGATAGTTCATAGCTGACCCATTGCACCAGTCAGAAATGCTCCCCTCCAATCCCACTGACTTATGACATAACTTAGACAGTTCATGCTAATAACATCCTTGTTTTCATGTACTTGAAAGGTCAAAAGGAAAAACAAAAACAGTGGATTGTAATACCAGAGTCTTTGATTTTGGTTAGGATGGAGGGGAAGGTTCATGGTGTTAAATCTGTTGGCAGAAACTACTAAGCCCTTCTTTGGGATTTCTGGTTCGCCTAACTCAAGGAAAAGTAGGTTAAAATAGCTATTTAATTAAGTTGTCCTCTAGAAGCCCAAGGACACTGAAGGGAAGGGGTCAGGAGAGAATTTTTTAATTCAAATTTTGCTATTAATCCGCTGGTAATCCTGGATGTCTTTCTCACACCCTAATCCTGTTTTCTCAGTAAAAACCAGGAGGTTTGATTAAAGTAATGGTTTTTCAGACTTACTTAGAGCACCAAAACCCTCCTTCAAATCAGATCTTACCTGGAAGCCTAGTTCTG